CCGCAATCTTCTGCCACTCCGTGAGCCAGTCCCGTGTTGCTGTGTTGCCCTGTGACATGGTGAACAAACGGTTGATGGCGAGTGCCGCGCGTCGTCGACGATGAACCGCTTCTTCCACAGCCGTGTCAGTTCCTCCCATGTGATTACGTCCTTCAAGTCTGGTACGTCGACGCCGTGGGAGGTTGCCAGGTGGCTCAACCAGGTCTGGCATCCTCCCTTTGAGTTCAGGAACAGGGCGCCGATGTACGCATGCTTGGCTACGGGCAGAATCCTGAGTTGCATTGTGAATGCTTCCCACCAAAGGACCAGATCCTGCTGCGTGTAGTCATCGAACCTCTCAAGATTGAAGGTTGGCATCTTATACATCTTCGGATTCCCATCCCCGTTCGTCGTCTGCAGCTGCTGGACCTCGGTCTTCAATGTATGCAGCTGACTGCTGATGGTGGTGGTCGGCGCAGCGAAAGTGCTGATGTCGCCAAGCATTGCCACTACGTGGTCAACGCGGTCCTCTAGTTGGCGGCTCGAGGGTGCACTGCTGGAAGCCCCAACAGTTGGTCCTGGTACAACCTGTTCCAGGTCCAGCAATCGGGCATTGAGTGCCCGGGTTGCATCCTCGTGGCTCTGCACCATGCGGCGGAGCTGTGCCAACTCCTGATGCTGTTGCGTGAGGTCCTGGTACTGTCTCTCCAACTCTGACCGTTGGTAGTTGCAAGCATACAACAACCCCGTCATGAGTTTGTAGAGGAACTCCTTGTGCTTCTCTTCCGGTGTTGCCTCGTCGCCGTTTGGTTCAAAGTGCCAGAACTTGAGGCTGTCGGTGCTTGTGGCTTCATGCCGTTGTAGCAGATCCTGGGCTTCCTTTCGGCGAGCCTGGGAGTCTGCGTCTGCATCGGCCTGTAGTCGCAGCTTCTCTGCTGCTGCTGCCTCTTCAGCCTGTACGCGGGCAGCCTCGACTGCCAGCAGGCGTTGTTCCTCAGCCTCTATCTGAGCCAGGCAACGCTGCTTGTAGGCGGCAATGGTCTCATTGGCCAGTTGGCCTGGCAGGCCCGTCATGTTGCTGACGTGGCACTGCTGCTTACGTGGCACTGCTGATGTGGCACTGTGTCTGACGTGGTACTGCTGACGTGGCACTGGTGATGTGGCACTGTGTCGGACGTCACTGCTGACGTGGCACTGTGTCTGACGTGGCACGGCTGTCGTGGCACTATGTCTGACGTGGCAATGTGACCTGGCATTGCTGATGTGGCACTGTGTCTGACATGGTACTGCTGACGTGGCACTGCTGACGTGGCACTGCTGTCGTGGCACTATGTCTGATGTGGCAATGTGACCTGGCACTGCTGACGTGGCACTGCTGATCTGGCACTGTGACGTGGCACTGCTGACGTGGCACTGTGACTTGGCACTGTGACGTGG